TGAAGAGACCCTGACAACAGTGCAGGAAGGAAATGGGTCTGGGCCAGGTTACCGTGGAATAAGATAAGCTTCCCAGTGCTAATCACAAGCCTCTGTGGGGCTCAACCTCTAGGTGGGGAACCCAAGGCTGAGAAGCGGCAGAGATAATAAGAGAGTAGCCATCATTTTGCCCGTGAACAACATCCATAGCTCATCTTACCACTGGCCCTTAAAAACAGCATTGTCCCTCTTTGTTTTCTGATGCTGTAACAGAATGCCACTCACCAAGCGGATTATAAGGAACAGAAGTTTATTTCCCTCATCTTCCAGTGGCTGAGAAGGCCAAGACCAAGAGACTATTTCTCGAGTGTCTTCAGGCTGCATTAGAACACGCAGAGAGCGGCACAAGGGATCAGATGTGCTGGTTTAGATCTCATTCTCTGTTTGGAAAGCCATCGATGTCACCACAGAAGCTCACGCTCATTACCTTATCTTACCCCTCAACTTGTAACTCCGAGGGCTGAATTTCTAATGCATGACCTCTTGAGATACCTGTTCGCACCAGGGTGACCACCCGGTAGACTGATTTTGCTTTTGTCCAGTGTGCACCAAGAACTCTGATTACATTTTCTTCCTCGTGTAGACCTAATGGGGAGGTGATTTTCACCTGCACTTCTATGGGGTTCATTCCAAGTCCCTGAAAACCAATAAGCTGTGTCCTTCGCTACTCCAGGTACTGTTGAATATCATCAGGAGTGTGCTGTGCAGAACTCTGGCTGCTTATCTGTTACGATGCCAGAGCAGAATGTACCCCCACACACGCTGCTGCTCAGCCGGCCCTGCAGGTCCCCTTCCCGGACAGGATTCATTTTTTTTTTTTTAAAAAAAAACCTTTTATTATACTTATTTAGTTAATTCATGCATGTGCGGTGGGGGTGCACATTTGCCACTGCCTGCGTCAGAAGGCAACTTTGGGGAGTGGTTCTCTCCTTCCATCCTATGGGATGCAGGGGTTGAACCCAGGGCTTCAGGCTTAGTGGCGAGCGCCTTTACTGCTGGAACAACTTGCCAGCCCCTTGGACATACTGAGCCTTCAGATGCTTCAACTGTGGAAGGCAAACGTGTGACTGGGCTGGAGAGCCTGTGTTGGCGTGTGTCTTTAGATTTCACTCCACCTTTCTTTCACAAGAATAGTCCACACCTTTGTAACCTATCAGTGTTCACTTGGTAGCTGTCAGTAGCTACCAAGAATAAGGGCTAAAATAATCATCATCATCATAATAATATAATAATGGAAGTAGAAGATGCTAACAGTCTATAAATGCTGCCCATGTGATAACTCCCAGCAGGCTCCGAAAAAATTCCAACCCCACCAGCGAGATGACACATTTGTTTTGCCTGAGACACACATCTAAAGTGTACGTGCTCTGTTCCAAAACATGCTCTATTGGGGTTTGTTCAATTCCGCTGGCTCCCAGTCCAAGCACTTGACTGCTTTAGGTGTCGGTGACTAATTGCAGGTTTGTATTTGTGCAGGAATTACTCAAGGCAACTCTTAAAACCTCTCTGCATTCTCAGGGTGACTCACTTCCTCCAGCCCCACAGTTAGCAGGATTCTACTGAAGGAAGTGTGAGAGAGTGGCCCAAGGTGACAAGCTGCTCTGCTTCCGGACTTTTCCTTTATTTATTTGAGTATGTGTGTGGATGCCCACAAGCCTCCAGTGCATCCCACAACACGGGTATGGAGGTCAGAGGACAGTAAGGGGGAGTTCAGTTCTGCCCTCCCTCCATGTGAGTTTCCAGGTTAGAATTCAGGTTGACAGGTTTGGTAGCAAGTGCCTTTTTTATCTACTAAGCCATCTTGCTGGCCTCATCCCACTTCTCTCCTCTTGTTTTTATTTCTTTTCATTGTATGTGTGTGCAGACTGCATGTGTGTGCATGTGCATGTATGTTCATATGTATGCAGGTGTGTGTAGACATGCATGTGTGTATGTATGTTCATATGTATGCAATGGTGTGTGTGCACGTGTGTGTAGACAGGCATGTGTATGCATGTATGTTCGTATGTATGCAGGTGTGTGTGCAAATCTAGAAGTCAACCTCAGGTGTCATTCCTCATGATCTGTGCATTCATCTTGGTTTTTGAGAGCAGGTCTCTCACCTTCAGGGTACACTGGCCAGTGGTTCCCAGGGATCCACTTATCCCCGTCTCTGCACTGCTAGGATTTATGTGCACTTTACTGGCTAAGCCATCTTCCCAACACCTAGCAATGTTTGTTCATTACTTTTACTGAAGTGCAATATGGTAGACACAGACACAGATAATGAGGATGCCAGTAAAAGGGATTCTAGTGTGAGCAGACCTAGGACAAGAGCATGAGCATCCGTGCCTGGAAGCCCTGCCTTTTCCATGCCCGCCTCCCCCGCCATCTACTGAGTTCTGCCACCTCTAAGGCTCTGTGTAAATGAAGTCAGAGTCTAAACTCTTTTGTTCTTGTTCTCACTCATTGTTGGTGAGTTTCATCCATATTTGCTTTGATTTTGTGTCTTTGGTTTTTAAGATGGGGTCTTGCTAAGTTGCTACTGTGAGCTTCAATTCTGAGTCTGCAGCCCTCACCATCATAAAGAATTGATTTCAGGGACACCCAACTACACTCAGCTCTCACAATTGCTCATTTTTATTGTGATTGTAGCCTTCTAGAACAAGGCACTATTTGTTTTTATATTGTTAGTTCTGACCCTAGTAACTAAAAACTGGGATTCCCATTTTCAAACACATATCAGTCATTTATCCAACGACACTAACAACACTGATCCATTTATCTGACGCTTCTTTCTTTGAGCTTTTTTGTTTTGCTTTGTTTTTTGTTTTTTTTTCAAGACAGGGTTTCTCTGTGTGGCTTTGGAGCCTGTCTTGGAACTTGCTCTGTAGACTAGGCTGGCCTCGAACTCACAGAGATCCTCCTGCCTCTGCCTCCTGAGTGCTGAAATTAAATGCATGCACCGCCACCACCCGGCTCTTTCTTTGGACTTCTGTTTATTTATTTTAAAATAATAATTTTTAAACTTTTCATTTTAAAAAGTTTTAATCTATAGAATCATTCCAAGAGTTATCTGAGGGATACACATGTCTTTCTTTGCATAAGGTCCATCAGTGGTGAGCCCTCTGTGACAGTGGCTGGCGACCCTCTCACTCTCTTCCCACCCCGTCTCTTTCTCCCTCCTTTCTCTCCTACTTTGACTGGTCAGTCTTTTCTGAGCTTAAGTTGTAGACATCACAGTACTTCATCTCTAAATATTTAAGGAGGACACCTTAAAATACAAAGGTTTTTTCTTAAAAATCCCAAACCTTCAATAGAATTCAAACACTTTAACATCTTCAGGCTACTATTGCCTGACACATGAGCACACACAAGTTGTTGGTTGTCTCCAGCACATCTGCAGTGGTCTTCAGATGACCTGATCTGGGAGCCATGAACACGTCCTTGTCAATGCTCCCTTCGGTCTGGAGTAGGTCCTTGTCTTTCTCCTTCTTCGTTTCTGATGACAGCGACATCTCTGAAAAGCATGCACTGCTCACGTTAGGACCAGTTTGAAGACAGGGGTGTTTGTTGAAACTCTCTGTTTTGGTTGGTTTCTGTTGCTATAACAGAATAGGACAGATGAGGTTAAACTGGCTCAAAATAGAAACTCATTTCTCACAGTTCTAGAGAGCAGGAAGCCCACGGCCATGGTGCCAGTGTCTGCTGAGGGGCTGTTTAGAACTCCCTGGCCATGGTGAACGTGTTGGTGAGGGCTGTTTGAAAATCTCAGGTCGCAGTGCATGCTACTCAAAGGTGAGTTCAGCAAACAAGTAAATGCTGGGTGATGTCTCTTCCCCAAGAATCTCAGTCCCCCTCAGGCGACAGGAGCCCTCCCACCTCATCACCTCTTGAAGGCCCTTGCTCCTGAGACCCTCAGGTCAGCATTATCTGAAGTTTGGAAAGGACACATTCAGTTATTACGTTCAAGTCAAAGCTGACAAAGTTGCGATCTGTTGCCTTTATCACGGAAACTGCAGGCCACATTTGCTCCTGTCTTAGTGGGGTGACGGCTCTCAGGGCAGAGCTTCCTCTTTTAGGCTGTTTTTTGTAGGTGATGCCGGGCTTATTTACTTATTTCTGTCATTGTTCTTACCGTCTATTTTGAGATTGGATCTCTTGTATCCCAAGTTGGTCTTGAATCCCCGAGGTAGCCATGGCAACCTTGAACTTCTGATTCTCCTGCCTCTACCTTTTGGCTGCCGGCATGCCCCAGCTTATGTGGCGCTAGGGTTTGAGCACTGTGCTCTGAGCTTTATTCTCAACCCTTTTGATTGGTTGTAAAAATCTCTCTATTGAGAGTAGAGCTGGCATAGCCTGACAGTATTTCTCCAGACTGTCATTTGTCTTCGTGATTGGTGACAGCTTTTCTGTTTTCCAAAGACCCTCATATCTGCACTCGAAGCATGACCTTTATTTCTGCCTTTGATATTTTGCCATTTTTCTTGGATGTTAGATTCACTTAAACGCCTTATGTTTTAGCATTTACTTTTAAATTTTTTTATTTATTTTTTAAAGATTTACTTATTTTATGTTTATGAATGTTTTGCATGCATGCATGCCTGGATGCCACGTGCATGCCTCACGTGCCCTCAGAGGTCAGAAGAGAGAGTTGGAGCCCTTGAAACTGTAGTTATGGGTGATTGTGAGCCAACCTTATAGTTACTGGGAACCAAACCAGTGTACTCTGCAAGAACAAGTGCTCTTAACCACCAAGCCGTCTCTGCAGCCCCTACCTTTTTACCTTTAAACATATTATTTCTTACTTATTTTAGAGTAAGAAGAAAGAGATGTAGCTTTTGTCCCCACAGTTAGCTTAATTGACTCAAGGTGTTTGTATATGGACAAGAATATACAGATCGATTGTAAGAAGGCCATTGCCTTGGTGGAGAAGTACAATAGGACTCGCGGGCTCATTAAAAACCGAGTCTCGCGGAGACCCGAGCAACGCGCTGCCGGCGGGAGTGATCTGCAAGCAAAACCTCCACCATGAGTCTCCTCAATAAACCCAAGAGTGAGATGACCCCAGAGGAGCTGCAGAAGCAGGAGGAGGAGGAATTCAACCCGGGCCCCCTCTCAGTGCTCACGCAGTCGGTCAAGAACAACACACAGGTGCTCATTAACTGTCGCAACAACAAGAAGCTCCTGGGACGGGTGAAGGCCTTTGACAGGCACTGCAACATGGTGCTGGAGAATGTAAAGGAGATGTGGACTGAGGTCCCCAAGAGCGGCAAGGGCAAGAAGAAGTCCAAGCCTGTCAACAAGGACCGCTACATCTCCAAGATGTTCCTGC